GGAGGGGGGGGGGGCGGTTCCCTGACGAATGCAAATGGTGTCCGAGCATGTCGGCGCCCCCGAGTTCGTTGAGGGAGTCTGGGTCGCACTTTTGCGTGATCCGTGCAATTCCCGGATCCTCTAGACCCGACAGGCCGCGTGCCTTCGTTCCGCCGTGGTCGGGGCCCAGTGGCCCCGAGCCGGGCGGCGCGCTCGGGTCTGGAGTTTTAGCCCCAGAGTGCTTACTGCGCCGGAATGGCGATGGTGCGCTTGTGCATCGTCACGCGCGATGCCCTCGCATTGGTGAGCTTGTTTCGCTTGTTCCCGAAGGTTTGATCTGGCAGCGCGTGCTCCTACAGACAGGCTTATCGAGATCCTGCGTGGGCGGGTCGTGCTTGCGACGCCTCCGGCCCTGCCCGACCTCGCCCGGCGCCCGAAGGGGCCGCGCTACATGTGGGGCGGCAATCCCACGGGCCTCGCGGGGAATGTGTTCTTGGACGGGCCCCTCCATGAAGACCTCCCGCTCTACCCTGTCACGGCCTGAGCGCGCGTGGCGCTGCGGCCGCTTGCTGGGGCATGCGCCGCTGTGCTCGCAGTTTTTCGGTTGGGCCGCATCGGGGCATCGATGGCGTGCAGCTCTGCGCGCTTTTGGCCGTGCTGCTGCGTGGGGCTCAGCCCTTCGCAGTATTCCGTTTCCAGTTTCGTGGTTTCAATCGTCAATTTTATTGGGGGGGGGGGGCGCGCCAGGGTGCGCTTGGGCGCATCTCAGGAGGCTTGTCCTGGACATCTCAGGGGCGGGTGGCCACGCCGCTGTTCCACCGGTGGGGGCGCGCGTTGCCGGGGCTCAGGTGGTCGAGGGAGTTCAGCCTGCTTGGCCCGCGTTTGGTTATCAATGTGCCGATGAGGAAGCCAAGGCCGGAGCGTGTGCTCGGCGGCTAGTTCGGGGCTCAAGCGACGGGGGTCGATTCACGCGGGGGCCAGCCAGGGTGCCAGATCTTGCGCGATCCTGCAGGGCCAGGGTCGCGCTGACCTGGGCTTGGGTGCAGGACCCTGCAGGGTCTTCTAGTATCCTGCGAAGCCTGACTGGCTCGGGCGAGGCTAGGGCGAGATGATCCGTTTCAGAGAGCGTTCTGGAATGCTCTCAGAGCCTTCCGGAAAAAGCTTGAATGAGACCGCGGCGCCCGATGCGTCTTCCAGAGCCTCCGGATTTCAGAAATTCCCGATTTATCCGAACCCGATGTTATCCTCGTCCTGGCTTTGTCTTGCTGGCCCCGGTCTGCGTTGACACGGGTCAGTGCGTCCCAGGTCAGCGTTGCAGTTCGTCGCAGCCCACGGCGCAGCGCAGGATGTTCCCGAAAGGGTCTGGGGGTCTTTGCGGCGGCGCATGTCGGCGAGGCGTTCCGTGGGGCATGGCTGTCGTTTGCGCCGCGCTGGGCGCCCAGCCTCTGACGCGCGGACCTCTTGGCATCGCTCGGATATGTGCGTTGCCCCTCGGTTGGGAGCATCGAGGGCCACTCTGGATCATGATGCGAACAGAATGATTGCATGGTGTTGAAAACTGCACGGGGAATGGGCGTCCGAGAGATGGCGAGCCTTCCCTCTCGATTGTCGAGCCCCCCTTCTGCGCCGACTTTAACGCAGCGCGCCGAGTAAACGCGGGAAGCGTTTCGAGCTCGGAAAGAGCGCGTTCTGTAGTCGTGCTTGGAAGGGGGGGGGTTGGAACCGGACCCCCCCCCCTGGATGGAGGGGGGGGGGTTCGAACCCCGCCCCCCGTTCCCGTGACGGAGGGGGCGGGGGTTTCGAACCCCCCTTCCCCCCTACTTCTTCTTTCTCCCTCTCCTCGGGCCGGCGCCTTCGTCGGTGGCGGCTGGCGGCGGCGGCGGGGGCGACGATTTCTTTTTCTGGGCCGGCGCCGGCGCCTGCGGCGGCGGGCGGCGGTGGCGGGGATTGTCGACGAGGACGACGGTGGTGGTGGCGGTGGTGGTGGTGGTGGTGGTGGTGGTGGTTTGTGGTGGGTTGTGGTGGTGGTGGTGGCGGTGGTGGTGGTTGTGGTGGTGGTGGTGGTGTGGTGGTTCGTTGTGGTGGTGGTGGTTGTGTTGGTGGGTGGTTGTGGTGGTGGTGGTTTGGTGGTGGTGTGGTGGTGGTTTGTGGTGGTGGCGGTGGTGGCGGTGGTGGGTTGTTGGTGGTGGTGGTGGTTTGGTGGTGGTGTGGTGGTGGTTTGTGGTGGTTGTGGTGTTGGTGGGTTGTGGTGGTCTGCCTCTGGTCATCGTCGGTGCATCCCCGCCGTCGGCGCTGCTGGCGGCCGCTAGTGCCGGCGCCGGCGCCAAGGGGTGTGGGGGGGTTTTGACCCCCCCACCGTGGGCTGCCTTTGGTCATCGTCGCTGCATTTCTGCCGTTGGCGCTGCTGGCGGCCGCCAGCGCCGGCGCCAGCGCCGGCGCCGAACGGGGGGGGCTTCGGGAGTGGGAGGTTCGGGGGGGAGGGGGGTCCCCCTGGTTTTGATCTGCGGCGCCGAGAGTTGGGGGGGGCCACCCCCCAGATCGAAACGCCCCGCCGAATGTTCCCAAAACAAACGCCCGTGAAACGCGCTCTTTCCGAGCTCAAGCTTGCAGTTGCTGGACATGAATGTTTGCACCGCGCTCGGCGCTCAGCCTCTGATGTGCAGCCCTTTTGGCATCGCTCGTGCTCGTACGTGTGCAGGTTTTCTCCGCCGAGGACCATCGAGGAGTATTGTTGGCCCGTTTGACACAGAAAACAAAACGCACGAAGTCGAATAATGCACAGAGAACGGACATGGCGATCCTTCCTTCCCGATGGTCGAGCCCCCTGCGCCGACTTTGACGCAGCGTGCCGAAGGAGCGCGGGAGGCGCCTCGAGTTCAAAGGGCGAACGCCTACAGTCGTTGTTCGTGCGCGGCCCCCGCCCAGCTTAGGTTTTGAGTGTTGTCTGCTGCGACCTCCGTGGGTCCTTCGCCGCCAAGCGCTTGGCTTCGCTTTCGCCCCCGTGCCACCCTCGAGCCCCGACGCGGGGCAGAGCGGCGGGGACCAACGGTGCGCAAGGCACATTTCAAGTTCGACGGAGTCACCTGAAGTGTACAGGGTCTCCACAGGCTTCACATCTACTTCAGTTTCTGCATCTTCTGTGACACTGTCTTGCTGGATCTCCTTTTCCAGTTGCTCGCACTCTGCGAGTTTCCCGCGCTGGGGGTGGTTACAAAGTGCACCCACAGTCGCGGGCCCAGTGCATGTGGTGGACAGACCTAGGAGGAGGAGGAGGAGGAGGAGGAGGAGGAGGAGGAGGAGGAGGAGGAGGAGGAGGAGGAGGAGGAGGAGGAGGAGGAGTGGACAGAACCCCCACCCTGACACGTCGATTATCGAACTGTCCGTTTTCGGTTCTCGAGAGGGCACCGCGGCCGTCATTTTCCATGCGCCCGCCAGGTTTGGGCCCGAGGTCGTTTTCACTAGACCACGTTTCACTAAAAAGGGTCCGGTCCACCCCCGAGGAGGAGGAGGAGGAGGAGGAGGAGGATGAGGAGGAGGAGGGAGGAGGGAGGAGGAGGAGGACGAGGAGGAGGAGGTGGAGAAGGAGGAGGGAGGAGGGACCAGTGGAAACCCAAGAGTCATCAACGATGTCGGAATTAACCCTCCCTCCAAGCTCCTTCTTTATAGGCCCCTGCAACGGTTCATTTCCATTGAGGGAATTGCATCGCTGGAAGACAACAGGTTGAAGATCCTGAAGCGTACCAAAACATTGTTATCTGGATTTCAACCCCACGTATCAACCTGACTGCTGCGTCTTGACACTCCAGAATCGTGCCAGGACACCATTTTTGGGACTTCGACACAGCGAATCAACGTAACTGTCGGGCCCGCATAATCCTGAATCCTTCCAGTACAATTTCTGGTACGTTGATCATGGGAATCCGTGAAACTCTTGCGAATTATTCAAACGAATGTGCGCGGCGCTAAGGCGAGAGCCACAGATTGAAAACCACCCGCCCTCAACCCGTGATACTTTTGATTTGTTTCACGAATGTGCGCGCCTCTAAGGCGAGAGCCACATTTTGAAAACCACCCGCCCTCAACCCGTGATACTTTTTGATTTGTTTCACGAATGTGCGCGGCGCTAAGGCGAGAGCCACATTTTGAAAACCACCCGCCCTCAACCCGTGAAGCTCTGGCGAATTTTCAAATTTGATGTGCGCGGCGCTAATGCGAGAGACACGTTTTGAAAACCACCCGCCATTAATCTGTGAAAACTCCTTTGCACATTTTAAGGATGTGCGTGACGCTACGGCGAGATCCACATCGTGACAAGTTTTTAAAAAGGATGTGCGCGGCGCTAAGGCGGGAGCCACATTTTGAAAACCACCCGCCCTCAATCCGTGAAGCTCTTGTTGCAAATGCTTAAAAAGGATGTGCGCGGCGCTAAGGCGAGAGCCATATTTTGAAACCCACCCGCCCTCAATCCGTGAAGCTCTTGTTGCAAATTTTTAAAACGGATGTGCGCGGCGCTGAGGCGAGAGTCACATTTTGAAAACCACCCGCCCTCAATCCGTGAAGCTCTTGCAAAAAGGTTTAGAACGGATGTGCGCGGCGCTAAGGCGAGAGCCACATTTTGAAAACGACCCGCCCTCCATCTGTGAAGCTGTTGTCACTTTTGAAGCTTCAGGGTCATACATGAAGAGGAAAGTCTCGCGCGAAACGCCCGGCCCGCCCTAAAAACTTGCCTCGGGTGCGACAGGGACGAGTTATCTATAAGGAGAAGGAATGGAGGAAGGAGGAGGAGGAGGAGGAGGAGGAGGAGGAGGAGGGGGAGGAGGAGGAGGACGGGGAGGAGCAGGAGGAGGAGGAGGAGGAGGAGGAGGAGGAGGAGGAGGAGGAGGAGGAGGAGGAGGAGGAGGAGGAGGGAGGAGGGAGGAGGGAGGAGAAAGGGAGGACGAGGAGGAGGAGGAGGAGGAGGAGGAGGGAAGAAGAGGAGGAGGGAAGGACATCATCGCCGAGAAATAAAAGACTGCTTCCAGCTCGCCGAGATTACCGGCGACAGCGCGTTCTGGGAGAGCCGTCTCGAGCCGCAGCTGCGCGACATCGCCGTGGAGGTGTTGCGCGCGGGTCAGGAGGGGCTGGAGCACCGCGATGACAGCTTCGAGCTGCTCGGCTTCGACTTCATGGTCGACGAGGAGAGTTTTTTTTGAACCCTCTGGGCCATAGACCGCGTTATGCCCGGCCCCCCCCTTCCTCTCCGCCATCACGTAACGCTGCCCCCCCGTCCCCACCCAGTGCGTTCCCGGCACTGCCGCAGCGCGTCCAGCACCGCAGTCTGTCAAGGTGGGGGGCGGGACGTTGCGTCATGTCCCCCCCCGACCCCTCCCCATCCCCCCACGAATGAGAAATGCCGTCGAGGACATGCGCGTCTGGCTCCTGGAGATCAATCTGAGCCCCGGCTGCGACAGCCGCACGCCGCTCCTGGCGGCCCTGCTGCAGCGGATGTCGCGGCGGCTGGTGGAGATCGCGGTGCTGGGCCGCGAGGACCCCGACGGCCAGGCTGGACCGCCCGCGATCCGATTCGATGCGACTTTCGCAGGCGCAGAGGTTGACACCAACACCAAGATCGGCGGCGTGCTTCCACCGAGGGAAGCAGATCCCGATCTCGGTGATGGTGGTAATATTCTGGCTTCCAAGGTGGCCGAACTATTACCACCAGCACCGAAATCGAGGATCATCGTTCCCGTGTGGAGGCAACCCCCTGTGTTGGTGTTGGTGCCCATTTGCAGGCCTCCAAGACTTTATTTTAGGGCTGGGCCCGCGACTCCGATTCGATTCGGTCTCGTTCGTGTCCTTGGCATCGGCCTGGGGCCGGGGGGAGCCATGGCGCGGCGATCCGACCGGGAATTCGCTTCGGGACGACTCGCTGGCGCTCCGATCCGTTCCCGCTCCGAGCCGTCCTCGCGACTCGATCCGGCTCGGGGCCTGCCAGGCCCCGGACTGGGTCAAGATCTGCGACGACCAGCAGGCGCCCGAGGAGGGGATTTAAACCATAACCCTCGCCGGGGCCCCTGGAGCCGAGGAGGAGGAGGAGGAAGAGGAGGAGGAGGAGGAGGAGGAGGAAGAGGAGGAGGAAGAGGAGGAAGAGGAGGAAGAAGTTTCCGTATCTATCGCCCGCTGGGGTCGTAGGACGACCAGCAGGCGCCCGAGGAGGGGATTTGAACCACGACCTTCGCCGGGGGGGGGTCGATCTTCGGGGGGAGCTCGGCAGGCGGTGGGCACGGATCTCTTCGGCACCCCCCCTGGAGCCGAGGAGGAGGAGGAGGAGGAGGAGGAGGAGGAGGAGGAGGATGGAGGAGGAGGAGGAGGAGGAGGAGGAGGAGGAGGAGGAGGAGGAGGAGGAGGAGGAGGAAAAAGTTATCCGTATCTATCGTTCGCTGGGGTCGTAGGACGTCGGTTTCCCTTCCGGTGCATGCGCACGGGCATGGCCACCCCCCCTCGCAAGGCGCGCCCGGGGGACCGCGGCGCTGCCGAGCTGCCGCGGACGCAGGACCTGGCCGTGACGGGCCGCTCGCTGCGGGCGCCGCGCCCCGCCGGCGCGGCGCGTGCGGCGGACCTCGGGGGGGAAGCGTGGGCACAGACGCAAAGGATCGTCGACTCTACAGGAGCATGCGAGGCTTTCCAGCAAAGCGCCTCGCCTTCGAGGGTCGAAGGAGTCGCCTTCATCTTCCTCGGCGGGAGGCGGCGGGAGTAAAGCGAAAGGGCGGCTCCGCCGGCGGAGGCTGGTGGACGGCTGGCGGAAGCAGGCGCAAGCAAACGTCGTCGTTTATTTTAGGAGCATGTACCTCAGGCGATACTTAAGAAAACTTAAGTTTTCGTCCAGAGTCTCGATTATTCTTAGCTTTCCAATGTGAATCCCAAGATTTTGATAGAAGTTGTGGGTTTTATGCAAGTTCTGAGACTATGAATTTCTTAACCCATGATTTCTTAAGCATTTCGCAGGGTGTATTCTTATTATGGAAAAGCGTTTTAGGCGGAGGCGAAGGCGAAGCTCCACGACACAGCTATGTAAAACATGTGGGGCCGACTTCTGTCCATGTCCGAAGATGGATCAACCACCCCGACCCCCATAATTGGCGTTTGCTAAGCGGGCCTGGGCGTTTACTGAACAGCCCTGCCCTGCTCGATTCCTGCCTCAGGTGCGCTTGTTAAACCGCCTCGCTTGTCTGGGTACCATTGGGGTGTTCGGTTCTTTGGGTGCTTATTTTCCTGGTCTGTATATCCACATCTGTGCTTGGGAGAGCGTGATCCACCGCCGCTTTACTGTGGAAAATTCCCTCCCCTCTTCCTCAGGAACCCGGGGGTCTCCCCCCCCCTCCAAAAATCCCACCCCCCTTTGCCGACCCCCCTCCCTCCTCCCCCCCTCCCTCCCGGCAAAACCCCCCCCCTCCCCCTAACCCCCCCCTCTGGAAAACCGGGGGGGGTCACTACCGGTTCGAACCCCCCCCCCCTCCGGAAAACCGGGGGGGGTCACTACCGGTTCGAACCCCCCCCTTCCCCCTCGAAAACCTGGGGGAGGTCAGCACCGGTTCGAACCCTCCCCCTCTCCCCCCCTTCCCTTCCCGAAAACCGCAGGGGGTCACTACCGGCTCGAACCCCCCCTCCCCCCCCTTCCCTTCCCTTCCCGAAAACCGTGGGGGGGTCAATACCGGTTCGAACCACCCCCCCTGCCCTTCCCGAAAAAGGGTGGGGGTCACTACCTGTTGGAACCCCTCCCCCCCCCAGAAAACCGGGGGGGGTCACTACCGGTTCGAACCCCTCCCCTCCCCCGGCAAAACCCCCCCCTCCCCTATACCTCGGAAAACCGGGGGGGTCACTACCGGTTCGAACCCCCCCCCTCCGGAAAACCGAGGGGGGTCACTACCGGTTCGAACCCCTCCCCCCCCCGCCTCCAAAAAACCGGGGGGGGGATCACTACTGGTTCGAACCCGCCCCCCTCGAAAACAGGGGGGGTCACTACCGGTTCGACCCCCCCCCCCTCGAAAACCAGGGGGGGGTCAAGACCGGTTCGACCCCCCACCCCCGAAAACCGGGGGGGTCACTACCGGTTCGAACCCCTGCCCCCCCCAGGCTCGCCGCCAGCAAACGACTCCCGGGTTCGTACCACCGTCCGCACCACATCCCCACTGCTGTCCCCAGCACCACTGTCCTCACCACCACTGGTCCCCACTGTTCCCACCACCGTCCCCACTGTCCCCACCAGTGCCCCCACCACTGTCGCACTGTCCCCACTGTCCCCACCACTGTTCCCACCAAGGTTCCACTCTCCCCACTTTCTCCACGGCCCCAACCACTGTCCCACTGTCCCCACTGTCCCACTGTCCCACCGTCCCCGCCGCTGTCCCACTGAGCTGTCCCACTGTTCCCACCACTGTCCCTACCACTGTCCCCACTGTACCTCTGTCCCATTCTCCCACCGCCGTCCTCGCCACCGCCCTCGCCACTGTCCCCACCACCACTGTACACTCCACTGCCCCACTGTTTCCACCACATTTCCACTGTCCCCACACCACTGTCCCCACCACCACCGTTCCCACCACTGTCTCACTATTCCCACTGTTTCCACCATTGTCCCCCGCTGTCTCCACCAGTGCTCCCACCAGTGTCACACTGTCCCCACTCTCCCCACCACTGTCCCCACCACGGTCCCACTCTCCCCACTTTCCCCACGGCACCCACCACTGTCCCACTGTCCCCACTGTACCCACCACTGTGCCACTGTCCCCGCCGCTGTCCCACTGTGCTGTCCCACCGTCCCCACCACCACCGTCCCCACCACTGTCCGCACCACTGTCCTACTGTCCCCGCACCATTGTCCCCACCACCACCGTTCCCACCACTGTCCCAGCATCCCCACCATTGTCCAACTGTCCCGAGGAGCGGAAATCGTTTGCCGGCGGCGAGGGGGGGGGGAGGGGGGAGGTTCGAACCGGTAGTGACCCCCTGTCCTGTTCGAGGGGGGGGGGGTTCGAACAGGTAGTGACCCCCCCCTTTTCATGATGGACTGGGGGGGGGGGAGGGGTTCGAACCGGTAGTGACCCCCCCCGGTTTTCGAGGGGGGGGGGGACGGGTTGGGAACCCCCAGTGACCCCCCCTCGGTTTTCCGCCAGCAGCGGTCGAACACGCTCTTTCATATGTTTTCATATGTATGTATGTATGTACGTATGTATGTATGTATGTATGTATGTATGCATGCATGCATACATGTATGTATGCATGTATGTGTGTATATGTATGTATGTATGTATGTATGTATGTATGTATGTATGTACATATGTATGTATGTATGTATGTATGTATGTATGTATGTATGTATGTATGTATATATATATATATATGTATATATGTATGTATGTATGTATGTATGTATGTATGTATGTATGTATGTATGTATGTATGTATGTATGTATGTATGTATGTATGTATATATATGTATGTATGCATGCATGTATGTATGTATGTATGTATGTCTGTATGCACGCATGTATGTATGCACGTATGTATGTATGTATGCATGTACCCATGTATGTCTGTCTGTATGTCTGTATGTATGCATGTATGTATGTATGTATGTATGTGTGTACGTATGCATGTCTGTCTGTCTGTCTGTCTGTCTGTCTGTATGTATGTATTTATATATGTATGTATGTATGTATGCATGTACATATATATATGTATGTATGTACGTATATGTGTATGTATGTACGTACGTATGTATGTATGCATGAACGTATGTATGTATGTATGTACGTACGTACGTATGCATGCATGCATGTATGTATGTATGTATGTATGTATGTATGTATGCCTATGTATGCATGCACGCATGCATGCATGCATGCATATCTGTATGTATGTATGTATGTATGTATGTATGTATGTATGTATGTATGTATGTATGTATGTATGTATGTATGTATGTATGTATGTACGTGTGTACGTATGTATGTATGTATGTATGTATGTATGTATGTATGTATGTATGCATGTCTGTCTGTCTGTCTGTCTGTCTGTCTGTCTGTCTGTCTGTCTGTCTGTCTGTTTTATGTATAAACGTATATGTATATATGTATATATATGTATAGAAGTCTGTACAGCTTTGTTAGGTCTTTCGTTCCTAAAGACATTGCTCCCAAACAATCAGAAAACAACGCATAATATTGGCCTGCAGCGAATTCACTGAGAGTTTGCAGTATTTTTATGTTTTTTTCTTCTGTTCTTTTCTGTGTTCTTGTCTGTGTCTCCCCGTGTCCCTGGAGGGCCGCGCCGGCGCCGCTGCCCCGCGCCCGCCGCGCGCGGTGCGCGCCGAAGGCGGCGCCGGCGGCGCGGGCCCCTCGGGGTGCTGCGGCGCCGGCGACGACGGAGGCGGCTGAGGACGGTCTCGCCCCGCAGAAGGCCCGCGATGCTCTCGGACTTCCACACGTCCACCTGTGGAACGCCCTGCTACGAGTGCTCCGGAGCCGCCGGGCGACATTGCGTCGCCTTCTTCTGCGCCATAAGAGTAATCCATACGTATTGCCGCCATGCGTGGGGTCGCTGCTGAGCAGCTGCGCCGGTTTGCACGCATGTGCAGTATTAAATGCACAGGCGTGCACGATGTAATTCTGCAGCGAGTGTTCGCACGTATGCAGAATGTGTCATGTGACGGCGCGGGCCCGCGGGGACCACCTTCTCCCCCTCGTCGTCCCTCGTCTCGCTGCCTTGCCGCTGCCCTCTCTCCCCTGTGCTCCCCTCTCCGCTTTCTTCCCTCACCGGACTGGGTGTGGGGCCCGCTGATCTTTCACATGTCCACGTGCGCAGCAATGTCGCAGGCCTGGAGGTTGACGCCAACACCAAGATCGGCGGGGTGCCTCCACCGAGGGCAGACGCTCCCGACCTCGGTGATGGTGGTACTATTCTGGTTTCCAAGGTGACCGAAATATTACCACCAACACTCAGGAGGGAAAGAAACACACAGACACAAGTAATCATCGATTCCCCAGAAAATATGGGAAAATATGGGAAGTGGGGGAGAAGACAGAAACCCAGAAAATATAGGAAAATGTGGGGAATATGTTTATTTGTGTGTATTTATTTGTGTGTCCTGGGGCCCCTTCAAACACCGAAACCTGGGATCATTCTCCCCATGTGGATGCAACCCCCTGTTCTGGTGTTGGCGCCAATCTCCAGACCTCCAGCAATGCCGCCCCGGTGCTCGCCACCGGTGCGCCCCGGGACCCCGGTGGCAGGAGGGTCAGTGCCCTCGCCCTGCCGTGGGGCGCCGCACGGGCCTGTGGTGCGCTGCGGCGGCCGCCGGGGCCAGCAGTGCACCCTCGAGCACACCATGTACAGTCGGGGCCCTGAAGAAGGAACCCTTTTCGTTGGGGAGGGGCTCGGTGTTCCTTGATCGGGCTGCAGTTTGCCTTCTGCTTTCCTGAGGTTTTCCATGGGGAATCGAAGTTCAACTTAATTATGGGAGAAAGGGGCCCCGCTCCTCATTTAGGGTTCCTTGTGTCAACGCCCCGACTGTACACGAGGAGAGGCCATGGATTGCTCC